GGGACCGTTTCTCCACTACCAGGTCCATTGCAAATGAATGGTTTGCAGAACACGGAAGACCTATTGGCATGCGAAGTGTTTACCGACGAATGAGAAGTTTTGGCTTGTTTTCATACCGGCCACACTGGGTCCTCCCTTTAACTCGAGAACACCGACGTAATCGCCTTGAGTGGTGCAGACAACGGTCACTCTGGGATCAGGAATGGAACAGTATTGTCTTTAGTGACGAGTCTCGATTTTGTTTAGGCATGCACGATGGTCGTGCCAGGGTTATAAGGCGACGTGGTGAAAGGAGGAATCCACAGTTTTTTGTTGAAAGACATGTTCATCACACTGTTGGAGTTATGGTTTGGGGTGCTATAGCTTATGGATCCAGGTCATCTTTAATCTTCATCAGAGGTAACATAAACGCGCAGCGTTATATCCACGAAGTTCTAGAACCCCATCTTTTACCCTATCTTGACACCCTGGCAGATCCAACTTTGCAACAAGATAATGCCCGACCACATGTTGCAAGAGTCACAATAGACTTCTTTCAACATAATGATGTCACATTGTTACCATGGCCGCCAAGATCTCCCGACTTATCCCCAATTGAGCACGTGTGGGATATGATGAGTAGGAGATTGCTCAATTTGCAACGTCATCCTCAGACTCTAGAAGCACTTCGAGAGGAGTTGGTGATTGCCTGGAATGAGATACCACAGGAGGACATTGACCACCTGATCAGAAGCATTCCTAGGCGCGTTGGAGAATGCGTAGCACATCAGGGTGCATCCACACATTATTAAAGGTCAAAGGGCTTTAAAGCAGTGCAATCATTTTGAAATTTTTATCATTTACTTATTATGCTTCATTAAGTACTTATACAAAATTTTATTAAAATAAAACCATTTAAACTGGGTGTTCGTATTTATATGTCACTTAGTATATATGTACACGTATATTTTTTGTCAATTTTATGATCCTCAAATGCACCACCCATTCCGCCTAACCTTTAATTTGTGTTACTTCGTCTGTAACGATTCTCTGAATATTTCGTCAAGCAGATTAACACAATACTTCTGACTCATTGATATACAGCAGACAAGGACTGACAAACCGACATAAATAAGAAACACGGACTTGTATGATGCAGATTATCTTTAAGTAACAGAAAACTTCTAAACCGAAGTTCGAGTAGTATCGCGAGTTTGATACTTCCATCATTTAGGTAGTCGTAGATTTTGAAAATCGATTCAGAGGGGGCGGAAATAAAATTGCTAGTCTTGCAACATTTCAGAGATTCCTGCTCATTTTCAGAAACTGTTTGGAGGGGACGAAAATGAAGTTGTATGCGGTAAATGGTTTTCAATCGTTCCATATTTGGAGTCAGTGAAAGGCCTTCTGTTATTAGGAAATTGCAGATCTGAATGATACTACACATATACACCTGTTAGACATGGAAACAAATATATACGATGGATTTGTTTTATATAGTTTGATATGCAGAGATCGAAGATTCGTCGTACCTAAGTGAACCTACCTTTTTTGCCTAGATTCGATTTCGCGTTTTGAAACCATTTTACTCAACCCTTTTCTTAGGAACTTCCAACAAAGGCATGGGAGGTATCGAGGCAATCTACTTGACGCCATTTTGTTTATTAGATTAGACTATATCACAAAAGCCGCTTTATCGATATGGTTGAGAGGCTGATCGTTTTTTGCCCTAACCTAAGCCAACATATACCTAGTCAAAAACTTTGTAATAAATTCATTACTACTGGGTGCTCTTTTTTATTTTACAGTATATATTGACATACCTCATTTTAGTCGCAAGTTCCATCATCTTTCACTATATATCACACCACAAAGAAATACCTAACCGTTTAGTAACTGAGAAATTACATTAAAATGACATAATATTGACCGCATGTACGGAGACCTACGCGTACTGTACAGTCTCAATTTCCAACATCTCGGCATCACGCCGGTTTGGTTCAAGGGAACTTCAGAGCTCCTTATACGGAGCTCTCAATGTTATTTGCTTCAAATTGTATAAAAAAACATGGCACAGTCCGCGAGATGCTCGCCATATACGAAAGATTCACTTAGTGGCGGTGTCTACTCTTCGTATACAGGATGTTTCAAAAGTAAGTTAAAATACCCTACCCAAACGAAGCTACTGTAATGAGATGTTGTCGAGCGTGGGTCCAAGAAGGCCGAAATCGACTAGTTAGAGGTACTGGACGTCAAAGACAGACTACAGAGCGACAGGATCTTTATTCGAGACAGCTAGCTAGCACTTAGAGATCCATTTTTCACAACAAGGGCAGTTGCGAACCAATGGTTTGATGCCACCGAAAGGGCAATAACAATGAGGACACTTTATCGCCGAATCAGGTCTTTTGGACTGATTTCATACCGTCCCCATCTTGCACTACCTCCAACCCCACAGCATCGTTGGCAACGATTGGTATGGAGTAGGGAGAGACTTGAATGGAATATGGAACGGGGCTCAGTCGTGTTCAGCGATGAGTCCAGATTCTGTTTGGGCACACATGATGGCCGTGCAATAGTAAGGAAGACATGTGGTGAAAGACGGAACGTTCAATATTCCATCGAAGGGCATATTCATCGCATCGGTGTTATGGTATGGGGTGCCATTGCTTTTGGCAGCAGGTCATGATTAGTGTTAATTCGAGGTGGCATGACTGCCCAGCGCTATATCCACGAAGTTTTACAACCACATCTGCTTCCTTTTTTGGAAACATTGCAAGATCCACTTTTTCAGCAGCACAATGCACGACCTCATATTGCGTGTTAGTTTAGACTTTTTAGAAGCGTGAGGAGTAAATCTGCTTCAGTGGCCTCCTCGATCTTCAGCCCTTTCCCTCACAGAACATGTATGGGACATGATGTGAAGAAGGTTGCAAAATTCACCGCACCCTTCACAAACATTCGAGGCTCGACGAAACCAAATTCAGATTCCAAATTGATCAGTCATATTTTAATTGTTTAACTTTCTATCTCAATAACACAAACTTTCCTATATTTGAAAATTATTTTCCACTTTTCAATTTACGAGCCCCTTCCCACTTCAGTTGGCCCACTTCAAGATTTGTACCAAAATATGCCTTTATAAACTAAACACGACGAAACTATTTACTTCTAAAACAATTTATTTTCTCAAAAGCATTTTAGATACACTCTAGTCGTAAAAAATACATATTTGAAATCACTTAGACCTATAACTGATAGAACATCTGAACAAATAAACAATGTGCGAATAAATGCGCGAAGTTAACAAACCAACAATTGAAATATTACCATTGGGTAACATGACCTTTATTTTTTATTACAGCTGAAATTCCTTGGGGCATAGTGTTAAACAAGTTTTGGCAAAAATTTGGTGTAAAACAATCCCATATTTCTTGAAGCTTTTGTCTCAGTTCGATGATTGTACGAGCAGGATGTTGTCGTAGAACCTTTTTCATCTCGTGCCACAAAGTTTCAATAGGTGACAGATCTGGACTGCTAGAAACCCATTTCAAAAGTGGTACATTATTTTCTTCCATCCATTTTATAGCCTTTTTTGAGGTATGACACGCTGCACCATCTTGCTGAAACACAAAATCTTGGCCGGATGTCAAACATTCTTCCATCACTAGTAAACGCGATTCTTCTAAAATTGCCAAATATTTGTTTGTATCCACATTTCCATCAATAAAATGAAGTTTTCCTGCTCCTTTTGATGACACACTGACCCAGTCCATAATGGATGCTAGAAATTTTACTTTTCTCTTCAGAGAATCAACATGGAATGCCTCATCACTCCATTGTATTGCACACCATTGTTGAGGTGTCCATTTTCTATGTTCTTTAGCCCATCTAAGCCGATTTTTCTTTTGCAGTGGAGTTAATAGTGGCTTTTCTTTGGCCTATAAACAAGTTGTGCAACTTTAGGGTTTTTTCTTCACTTTTTTCGGCATTTGTGATATTACCTTTTTTCACATATCGTGGCTTAATATTAACTGAACCAGTTACGTTATATCTTCTAACAATATTTCTCACACTGTACCGCGATAAGTCTAACAAAGTTGCAATTTCTGAGTTTTATTTCCCAGAATTAAAAACCTTTCCTCTACCCATTTCGAAAACCTTAACTACCCAAAACTATTTTAAACGTATTCTGACAGCTGTGATTAATAAAAACAATTGTTCTAGACTTATTTTGCATTGAAATGAAAATAGGTTGATATGCTGTAATTGAAACATGCGTTATTTTAATGCTGCAAATTTGATTAAGGAGTGATAAACTTGGTGTTTTCTACTATATATTATCAAAATCTTCATTGTTAATATTTTAAACCTATAACACCCTGCTACATTTTTATTATTTGTGTTTGATAAGAAAAAAACTAAGATTTCAATAGTTGGGCCAACTGAAGTGGGAAGGGGCTCGTACTATTAAAGTAGGTTTTTTGTTTTTTTAAGTATATTATTTTTGTTCTTGAAGAAGCGTGCGCTCAATGTATATTCTGCATGAATAAAAAACTGAATCGGAAAAGATGTCTATCGATAAGGAAGATATTGCCCTACTCTTTATAATGAATCAAAGATTCGTGAAATTTAAACGAGGATACGAAAAACTTCAATCCTCCGTTTATTATTTTTAGAATGTATATTTTCAACTCGCGAACAACACAGATGTCAAAAATAGATATTCCCATCATAACTCCGATATAAATATTTTTGGTTAATGTCTTCAAAATGTTCTAGTTTCACTTACTCAGAATTTCAGTACAATTTTAGCAGGAATTTTACTCTTACTCTTTAATCAATTTAGATCATAGACTACATAGGCTTTGCCTCAATCAAATGGCGTATCATCAATAATTTCACTTACGTCAAATGCAAAAGGCGAGAGAGAAAAGATTTAGGCGATCCACAGTAGAGGATGTTTCAAAGGTTACATAAAGTTAGAGCTAAGGGTATAATATTATTAAAAAATTACTTACGTGTCGAGAAAATACCAGTGCTAAAATCTGTAAATCCTAAAACTAGACTGAAAATAATAAAACTGATCCGACTGTTGCAATTCCGACCCGATCTTTCCCGAATTAGAGTGAAACTTCGCGGCGATTCTAAAAATGGACACTGCGTGGCTTGGAAAGTGGCGGACGTGATTTTTCGTTTTTGAGGCAAATTGAACGCGATTTTTCAGGAAAGTTTGGAAATTTCCTTCCTTCTTGTGGCCGACCGTACTTTTCACTGATAAGAATTTGGATGAGTTATCGGGACATGCGCGAACCCACGGGATAGAATCAGCGCAAGGCTGGTCTATTTCGGGATACTCGGTGGCTATTTGCGGTGAACGGGAGTGCTGCAAGGATCAGTGCCGAGGCCGATTGATGCTCACAGGTGGCCTCTATGGTTCGGCTTGAGACGAAGGAGTATAGCAAAATGTTTCAGAGTTTCCGAATTCACTGTGAATTTGGTGTTGAGATGAATGCCTCCCTCCCGCTTTCAGTAATTCTGCCGTTAGCTATCAGCTAATATTGCTCTTGATATCACGAAAGCTTCCGCTTTGTACAAAGCCCAGACGAGACCTAGCCTCGAGAACTGCTCACATTTTTGGGGTCCCGATTACATTATCCATACTCGACGCAGGTTCGAGGATGGCTGTTCGACTGATCGGTGACTCTTCTCTAACGGACAGACTCGGCACCGAGAAATCTGTCTCTCTTCCACCGCTATGCCAAGGGGGTTTTCTCCTGAGGGGTGAAAAGGAACCGATTGTGGGCTGATCTTAGACGGTGGTCGGCCCTACTTTAAAAGAGGAAAGGATGACTCCGGGTGCCTACCGAGGTAAATTTTTATAATAACAGAGTCGGATTTCAATTAGCGATCTAGCCTGTAAATCGTTTCCTATTTTGGTACTCAGCTAGTAATCATTTAGTATTGTTCTACCCTTGTTACTGTTCGTCGATATTGTATTGTTGAATTGTTGTGTTGTACTCTTGTTGGTGTGATTGTTCTTAAGTGAATTTTTTATCAGGGTTGATAGTGGACAATAAAAGATCATATGCGACAATTTTAATTACGAATACAGTGTAATTCATGATGAGGACAACTATAGTGTGGAGCAGTTCAACACTACGAGAATCGCAAAATACATTGGGGTAAGCGAATAAATTATTGCAAGAAGAGGTCATACCATGGAAGATGTGCTCCAGCTGTTGTGAGCCACAATACCGAGCGGCCTGTCTATGTGCTCCAATACATTTGCGTTGTAAGCTTAGTCCAACCTCGCTTATCACTAAAATGGAACAAAGACTCAAACGCAAGAATCTTGGAAAGAAACTCAGACCAAAAAAAGATTGATATAAAAATAACAACAATTGGGATAGCAATTCCAAAGAAAATATGTAATAGTTTTATGGCGAATTCTGTCAAAAACCTGACATGAACGACATTGATTTGGATGTTGCTAATCAAGAATTTTTAGGGAAACTTAGAAAAAGTGACGACGAGATTTTGCATATCGAACAAGTCACCAAATCACAGGACTTTGCTTTGTGGCGTCTTCATCGCAGGATAAGGTTGACAGCGTCTCGATTTGGTGAATTTTGTAGAAGAAGGCAGACAACAAGCTGTAAAGTTCTAGTAAACTTGATCATATACCCAACAGAGTTTTGTAGTAAGGCAATTTCTGGCAGCATCACCTACCTCCATCTACCTATTACAGTAGACAAGACATGTACTTAATCCAGGTATAAGCCTACCTGTTTATTGCTTTGCAAAAACTACCTAACTGTTTCCTCTTATTTTGACGGCATAAGATATTTTTATGATCCTCGTTCAATTGTTACCATCTACCACACGACCCTTGTAAACATAATTGTATTTATTGACATGAATAAACGAATTAGAATTTGAGTTCTTCAATTTATATTTGAACACATTTTTTCTTAGTCGGAACGCACCGTCGCGTCGCTTGGACTGGCAGCACGAAACAGTAGATGAATTTCGCCAAAAAACCGATTTGCACTTCACAGCTTACTTTTTATTATTTCCAAATGAAACTCTTGCAGCCTGCTAAAAATAAAGTCCACAGGGTGCCAGCGATCCACTTTTTCGATTTTATCCACTAGGATCTTTTCAAAATATCGAGAAGTTGAGCACAAATAGTGAGCATTTCAACCCACCATAATTCTTGCGCAAAGACAAAATTTTGTAAAAAGCTCTGATAGCACCCTAGGCAATTATGGTCTGCTTATATCCAGAAAAACATCACAAACTGCAAAACACAAAAGGTAACTGTGAAATGGCTACATTTCACGGGTTATGAAATTCAAATGAAAATGCAGGTATAAAATCTACCAAATGATCGTTCTCAAAAACATTTCCTTGACATATCGATAATTTTAAAGTTCCGCGCTAAATTCCCCTATACTTGACTGGAAAGATATTCGAATTTACTCTTCCCTACTGTCGGTAGTTGCAGATCTGTTGGCTGTTGGTGTCAAACCTATAGAGCAGGTACCGAGTTTTTGAAATCGTGAGCACATTATTCGTCGGATTTTCGATACTTAAATTTCCTGTAATCACTGGGATCAGAAGCTACTTAGTAGTAGAACGTGTTTCACTGATTCCAACCCCCCCTTTTTAAGCAGTACAATTTTTTATGTCAATGATTAGGAACCCCTGAAACGTCAAAAACGGAGTTTCAGCAATTGCTACTTTTTCTTTCTTGCCTATAGCACCGTTGTCACAGGACTAAAACTAGAAAGCTTTGGCATACTAGTAACCGCGTGTGGAAATTTCATAAAAATCCGGGCGGTAATTTCCCAGTTGATAATGATATGACTTAAAAAAAATAACATCTCATTTTAGAAATTTTTCGCGATTACAATACTTCCTCGCCAATGACGTGGGAAGTAAAACGGCTTTAAAATCGATGAGTATCAGCGATCGCGATTATGAGTACCTATTTGCAGATCGACTTATCTACGCGATATTATATGAAATATAGCCACCAAATTATCTGAATACGTCCTTTCTTAGTCCGTACATTGCGCCGCAACGCTTGGTTTGGCAGCACGAAACAGTAGACAAAATTCGTCCAAAATACGATTTGTAGAGGTTTGCGCGCTTCGAAATTGACGCTTTATTTTTTGGATCAAATTTTCTCAGAGTGCTGAAAACAAAACCCCACAGGGTGCTATAGAGCCACTTTTTCATTTTTTCCACAAGGTTCCTTTTAAAAAAATCGCGAAGTTGAACAGAAAAAGTGTGCACTTCAACCTATCATAAAACTTGTGCAAAAACAAAATTTCAAAAAGTGCTCCTATAGCACCCTGGACAATTATCTTCTCAACATACTGTATGAATTTAATTCAGAAATATTGAAAAATGGAGTGTCAGTTTTGAAGCAGCTGAATCCTTGTAAATGGCTTGAAATTCACTACCTCGGAGCCGCCTTAACAAAGTTTTTTTAGCAGCCACTATGCCATGGTATTTAGATCTGAGCCTAGTTGGCTGCTTAGGTATAAAAAAGGGTCTACTTTGTTTTCCAGGTAAATGTAAACTAAATACTACGGCAAATCCCTCCGAATAATAATAGTAAATATACCGAATGACAAAAAAGGGAAAACACCTACATGTTTATTGGAATTCAAGAATTTTTTAAATATTGATTTATCTTGCCATGAACAACAAGTGATAAAATGGTGAGGTTTTTGTGTTAAGTTTTTGTGGTGGCTGCGTGTATTGTTTGGTGATAAAGAAGCATTCAGTTTTCGTACATTTACGGTGTCAGTTAAATGTTAAATTTCCAGTCTACCGATAACTGAAGTTTATAGAAGGACCAACAGACCCTTACGCAGTATGAACGGGCGTGGAATCAGGAAGGCTGAGGACAGCCGGCGAGAGGTTCTGGACGTCCCAGAAGGACCACAGAGCGGCAAGATCGCCGGTTAAGACTTCTGGCTAGGAGAGACCGATTCAGTAGTACTCGAACCATCGCTAATCAGTGGCTTGAAGGGCATGGAGGAACGGTTAGTATGCGTACGGTATATCGCCGAATACGACAGTTTGGCCTTTTTTCTTATCGTCCGCATTGGGTGCTACCTCTCACAGCTGAACATCGGCGTGACCGTTTGCTCCTGGTGTAGAGAAAGAATTCTATGGAATCGGGAATGGAATTAGGTGGTCTATAGTGTCGTATCATGGTTCTGTCTGGGGATACACGACAGTCGGGCAAGCGTGAGAAGGCGACGTGGTGAAAGACGTGACCCACAATTTGACAAAGAGCGTCACGTGCACCACACCATGGGAGTTATGGTATGGGGTGCTATTGCTTATGGTAGCAGATCACCGCTTGTTTTCATCTCAGGCAATATGACAGCCCGACGCTGGAAGTAGTGGAGCCTTATCTTATTCGATACCTAAACACCATCCAAAACCCAACTTTTCAGCAAGACAAAGCCAGACCGCATGGTGCTAAAGCATCGTTTGCCTTCATGGATCAACATCGCGTCAATCGTTTACCTTGACCACCACGATCGTCTGACCTATCTCCAACTGAACATGTGTGGGACATGATAGGTCGCAGGCCCTTGAATTTACAACACCCTCCACAGACTTTAGCAGCTCTTACTCACGAAGTTGCAGTAGCCTGAAATGAGATTCCCCAACAGGATATCGACCACCTTATCGGCACGATGCCCAGGGGTGTCAATGAGTGTATAAGAAATCGTGGATCCTCAACACATTACACTGATCAACAGCCAAAAAATATCCTAAATAAAATCAACAAGACATTACTATTTTTAATGTGCTAAAACCGGAATGAAACTTATTTTTTCAATATTACGTCAAGCTTTAGAGATACGGTAATTATATGTGTTCCTGCTGTGACAGTGTTAATATACTGAAATTCACAAAAATGCACGTGCTACATTTTTATATTCGGCAAGGAAAGATGATGTAATCGGCATGATTGTGTTACGTTATACATACGTGTACATTATATTGTTTTATATTAGCCATTTTTTCCTCAGTTGGCTGACAGCGTTCATGCAAGATGTCTCGAAAGTGTGTAAACAATCCAGATCAGTTTTGTTACGTGTGTGGTGGTGTGACTTTTGCGTCTCAGAGACGGTCTATTACTCCACTAATAACAAAGGCATATCAGCTTTATTTCGGTTGTAAATTAGGTGATCAAGACAAACAGTGGGCACGCCTCATCTGCTGTAATACATGTGCTTCAAGTCTGAGGAGCAGGTTAAATGGCAAAAAACGGTCTATGCGCTTTGCTGTCCCAATGGTTTGGAGAGAGCCTACAAATCATATTAATGATTGTTACTTTTGCATGGTACCTTGTGTTGGACAAGCCACAGGTATGCCCAAGAAAAAAAAATCGGTTATTAACTACCTAAACATACCAT